ATGTTTTTTGGTTTTGATCCCGAGAAAAAAAGAAAAAAATTAAATAAAAAAAGTTAAAAAAAAAAAAAAAAAAAAAAAAAGAACAGACCCCAAGCAGAGTCAGTTGAGTGGTTCCTGACAGTTTTGCTAAATAAAATACATCATCATCATTTATAATCTATGTGATGCACAATTCGCAAACCTCGCTCAGTAATTGGCTGGTGTCATTAGCTGACTGCCTGGGAAGTGTACAGTGGCTTCATGTGATAATATAGTCTTTTATAAATCTGCACTGCAAACAAAAACGTCTCAAATTTACAGTAAAATACCAGCAGCTTTTATTTTATTGCATAAATATGGTTATAAATATAGTAAAATCCAAATTCATACAGTAAAGTTCTGTGATTGTACGAATATAATACATTTCTGGCAACCACAGCTGCCCGTATTTTAGTGTAAACGTTTTTTTGTTTGTTTGTTTGTTTGTTTTTTAACAGTGTGCTGAAGGTGTGTTATCAGAAAAAAAAATCCATGTTTTCCTTCAGGTTATTGAAAATAAAATCAAAGCACAGTGTAGCATATTTAACCAGCAGAGACAAGACCACAGAGGCTTCTCTGAAAGCCGCAGTTCCAGAAAGCTTCTGGGCGTCAGGTGGGATTTTTATAGAACCAGAACATTTGCTGCTAATGTGAACTATGAGCAAACAACAACAAACAAAGAAAAACATTTGATGCTAGCAAAGAACTATTCTAATCTAGATTACATCCTAATGAGCTTGGATGTCAGTGGGTCCTCGTCCGCCTGTTCCGTCATTGCAGATGAGTGTGATGCTGCTGGTGTGAACATTCCCAGATATGCATGAACGAATTTAGATGGACTTGCACTGACTCTTCCTTATTTCAGGCATTTGTTTCAGTGACGAATGAAAACAAGGCAGAAGGAAGGTCAAAGGTCAGGATCCCTCAAAATGTGTTGTTTCAGAAGTTTGGGATGATAATAAACTCCCTCTCGCTCATTTTGAGTGTAAACCTTTCATACAGTGAATCACTGAATCACTGAATCACACGACCTTGTTTGGATGCTGGTTTTGCTAAAATAGACAGATTGGGGGCTACAATTCTCCCATGCTCCATATTCATACTATAACTCATCCAGCCATTACCTCTCGTCCCCCTGCACCTCTTGTTAAACTCGGTAAATTTGCGCCCGATTAAAACAAACACTCATTCTTCCATAACGTAATCGCATTTAATCTTTGCGCTACTTCATCAGCGTGACAGAAAGTGGAGAACATTTCCACACATTAAGTCAAAAGCCTGTGAATACGTGGAAAACGTGGCACCGCAAACGCTCATGTTCTAAAACCCCTCCTGCTCACAGTCAAGCGACGGGAGCGGACAGAAACACAGACTCTTCAAGCGGCCACTGCCAAAAAGCAGGATGAACGAGGTTGATCGCTCTGCGCCGGTGGCGCTTCAGTAGATGAAAATGAATGGACATCTGACGGAAATCTTTTGATATGCTTTTGCTGCACTCTTGGTACATCTTGAAACCATGTGTCTTTAAAACTCCCTCCCCCCCTTTTAGATACTTTGATTCCAAAGCATCAAACTTTGATCATTTTTTTTTTAAAAGAGTTTGAATAAATCATCCAAGGCTTCTGAGGGACTGATTTGGAAGTCATGACACCATAACTAAAGTATGACCTTGAATGGAAAAGGGGAGCTGGCCCCCCTTTCTGCAGGCTGTCCTGACCAAGAGATGAAGACAGTGGTGTCAACTCTAATGCCAGGAGGCAGATAGATGGTTGAAAATTCACTTTTGAGCCAAAATGACTATAGTTTATAACAAATGGAGATTATTAAATAAAAAAAAATAAT